CTACTGTTGAGATACATTATTATTGTTATTTCGTTTAATTCCTAGAGGAACATAGGGCTTCAGCCGCGTACGTCTCCACTCTGTTCGTTTCTCTGCTGAAGTTTTCACCTGACTCCAGGTCTGCCCACATGCTTTCATCTCCTCTTCACATCACCTCCTCCAAGTCACCCTCACACTGACGACCAACTCGCCGCTTCCCTTTCGGGTTCCACTCGAGGGCTTGTCTAGTGATGTCACTTGATGGTTTCCTCAGAGTATGGCCAATCCATCTCCATTTCTTCCTGCCTATTTGTTTCACAATCGGTTCCTGGTTGGTTCGCTCCCAGAGATCCCTGTTGCTGATCTTTTCCGGCCATCTGATCTTGAGTATTGAACGAAGACAACTGTTAATGAAGGTCTGTAGTTTGTTTGAGATGCTCTTTATGACGCGCTGGCAAGTCTCTGATCCGTATAGTAGTACTGACTGACTTCACATTGGAGTTGAAAATCCGGATCTTATTTTCATGCTGAGTGCTGTTGACCTCCACACAGACTTGAGAGTAGTGAAAGCTTGTCTTGCTTTTCCGATCCTCTGCTTTGATATCCTCGTCAGTTCCGCCTGTAGTTGAAACGATGCTTCCCAGGTAGGTAAAGGAGGTTGTTTCTTTCAGGTTCCTTCCATTTATGCTGATTGTTGTCTGTTGTTGTTCTTGTCCAGGAATCTTCATTACCTCTGTTTTCTCTATGTTCACCTGAAGTCCTATCTTTGATGCTTCTTCTGCCAACTTGTTGCTTTTCACTTGCATATCTTCCAGTTTGTGGGAAATCAGACATACACATATATCACATCGGCGAAGTCCAGATCCTCCAAGTCTTTTTTGTGTGAGTCCATTTTATGCCTGTTTCCTCGCTGCCTGCCGCATTATCCAATCTACTGCAATCAGGAAAATCATTGGCGATAGTAGGCAGCCAGCCTTGTCTTACTCCCGTCTTCACTTCGAAGGATTCCGTAAGTTTCCCGTTGTGGATTACTTGGCGGCATGCAGCATTGTCGTACAGCTGTCAAGCTTGGTACCCACTAGTTAATAAAAACGAAACTGTACTTGATCAGTGTTGCCATTCGCATTCGGTGCATATAGTGTAGTCGTGATACTGTGAAGTGAAAGATCTCATTCCTCGATGAAAAGCCAGTCGAAAATAGAGATATCTGCCACCTCCTTTATATATATATATATACAATTATGTAAACAAAAAAAACCTAATGAATCTGATCTGACACCTTTATCCAAGAAAACGCTACACACTTATGAACCTTGAATTCAAAGGTGACCTAGATACCAACATCCCTAGAGGAAGGATCTCTCTCTCTGTATCTCCAAAAATGACACTGGCTGCAGCATCGCTAAGAGAGATTGGTGGTTTACAGTCGACCATGCACATGGTTCGGGGTTCGATCCCCGGCCGACGCACTCCTTTACCTCGCTAAGCCAGAAATAATGCTGGTGAAGAGGAAAGGTTGGGCATGAGGCTAGCAACCCAATCCTGTAAAATAAACACTGCTACAGAAACTTCAAGCCACTAGCTTGAAGCCCTATGTTCCACTGGGGAACGTGAAGGCAAAAAATTACTATTCAATAACTTGACAAAATCTGATTATGAACCACCTCCATGCGTATTTACCAGCTCTTGTGGAGCTCTAGGCTGTATATCGGCTGTTCGACGCGCTGATCTTATCTAAAAAAAAGGCTGCGTGAATACTATCCTTTCTGATGATGACGAAGATGTGCGACTACTGGGGCTATGAGAAGCGCTGCTCAGTACTGGTGATCTTATCTTCAAAAACGCTTCTTTCAAAGATACCTATTATTATTATAAGGTGACAAATAACTTGCCAAAATCATTACGTATCTGTATTGCTGTGAGGCTTTCCTTATCGACTTAGGAAAGCCAAAGTCCCGTATACATAGGCCGTACACAATTAGGCGTGTTTCTCGTCGAATTTCCGAACATCACCCACCCTGCACAGTGGTTGGTTGGTTAAGCAAACGACAAACAAAATCTATTCGCAGAGCTATTCTATCTCACTCATCATCTTGTGGATACAGAACACAAGATTGAAGTTAATCATGCTTTCAGGGTCATTCAACGCATACCAACTAATCTCAATTTCGCCTTAAGAGTTCGACTACCGAAAATATTGCTGAGGCTGGCTGGCTGGCTGTTGGGATCCATATTAACAAGCCTAATTTGTGCATCCAAAAGAAGTTGGTTGGTTCAGACATTATCCTTACCCACTTGGCCATCCAGGTTTGAATGATCGATCCTGAATTTTTGTGGAATTTTCCTAATTTTAGTTGATATTCTATTTGCTACTATATCTTTATTATTATTATATAATTTAAGCATCTTTAATGAACTGTGGTGATTCCATTGTGATCTTACTTTACAAATCGATATTACTATTTAAAAAGCACACTAATATTGTTATTGACTACTAATCTAGAATATTCTATGTATATAAACATGCATATATATATAATTGTAGAGCGAGAAGAGGAGGAATTTATCGAAAAGGGATATTCTTTGCTGGCTCAATTATATTTTGTGTTTTATAGATAGCGTTTAATCAACTAATCCTTTCACAATTCTTACCCGTCTATTTTTGAATTATTACAGTCTCCATTTCTATCTTGGCCCTACTTATTTTTTTTTTAGTTGTGTCTAATCTGTAATCTGTATATCCATAGCTTATTCTATCTACTGGGGTAATTATTTTCACTTTGAAAAATTTCCCACATTATCTGATTTGTTACCTGTAGCGGTAAATAATTCCCCAAAATTATTGACCACAGCAATCATCACTCAACATTGGATGCTGACCCTCACTGTTTAAGTCGACTTGTTTAGGCTGAAGGCTTCCGGTCAAGCATCCATGCCATTTGGTACTCCATCGTGTCACGTGCGTGCACGATCACTAGCCAGCTAAGCATTCACTTCAGCCCGCGATTTGGTCCCGAAATATATATCGTACTTTGGACGACTAAATCTGGTCTTTTGCTTTGTCTTTGGTACTCGAAGAGCGAACACTATAGAAGTTGTTGGTATAAGATCTTGCGTTAGTATACTCCGTACAATTCGTGAACGTCGATACCTTCATTACCCTTTATTTATTTGAATAAATGTAACTTTTTATGCAATGTTACCCTGTCGGAATCCTAACCTTAGTAATTCTACACCCCCTCCTAACATTTACACATGTCACGAACTATTTCTGCTGCTGCTGCTGGATTCAACATAGAACTTGGCACCAAAGTGCAGCACTTCGAGTTGCCACGTTCCAAATACCACACAAAGGTAGACAGAAAAATGAGAGAAGAGAATCAATAGAATTTAGATAAGTATAAGAGTGAAACAGAATGAGTAATGGTAGAAAGGAATATGAAAGATTACACAAGAGACTGAATACATCTGCGTAAGCCATTGACAACGATTTTGAGCCATGTCACCTATTGTCTGTCTCCAGCCATTGATTCTTAGAGTCCCGAGGGCGGGCCCCAACCCGGAAGTCTGCATCTCCCTACCTGACTCAGTTTAACTGTCAAGGATTTCATGGATTGATACCATGTTTTTGTTTGGCATGGCACCACTTACTCTTTTCCAACCTGCACCTATATCAGCTAGTAATGCCCGTCAGGGGAGACGATGGTTCACGAACGCTGCTACCTTGACGTGGTGGTCGGGCTTGAATACCGCAATGACCCAACAAGCTATACTGGCTGGAACTTATGTTCCTGCAGGTCCTACCATGCCAGAAAGGTTGTTTGGATAGCGGTCAGACTAAAAGCAGTTACCCAATCCAATCCTATGACTTCAAATAAATCACAAAATATCATGCCGGATCGGTCGGGGCTCGGATTAACAACGACCGCGCTTCCTGCTGCTGTGTCACAGGGCAGAAGTGATAAATATGCTACTGAGACACACCAAATAAAAAAGAACAAACAAAAACAGGCCGTGTGTGACCGGCCTCAAGCAGTTGTCCCCTGGGCTCTGCGGTCACGCAACCAACTTCCACGGTGTGGGCAGCCGGGAAGTAACAATCGCCCTCACAACCCGAAGAGCACGCGAAACCTCTCTAATCCTCACTCACCTTTGTCTTCATCTTCATCTCTATTATCTTGCCTTCCTTCTACTAACGCAACTCCTCTACTTAATAGCTCTTCACTCTGTGTGCACTGAAAACGACGGAAGCCAAAAAACCACGAACTATTTCACAGATTACGTAAGCCATTCTGCCGATTGATGGCTATATATGAGTTGATCACGCATTGATATCAGTTAGAGAACCATTGAAAACCAGCCACAGGGAGTGCTGGACAGGCAGTTGTTTCGTCAGCCTAGTTTGGGAATCATCATCGGCAGTACGCACCCACCACTGCACCGGGGTTCGAACCCAGGACCTTCTGGTTACAAGGCAAGCTTGCCGGCTCATATACCACTAAGCCACTCACTGGGATCCGATTCCTCAATGGCCAGCTAGTGCATGAATTCTCACTTCTGCCAATTCGTGATTTAGCCCGACTGACACCAACCAATATCATCAGTGGGACATCCATCTATCCTCACACGTGACATCATCTGGATGGACCTCACGACTTCTCACTAGAACTCCATCCTGTAGCAAGTGGAGCATCAGATTATTTTTTCATATAGTTGTTGTAAGGGTTGGTTATGCTTACGGCGAGTTGATCACGGATTGATATCATATACATAATTTATATAATCCAGCCCAGTGTTAACATTTTTTTAGTATTTAACCTATGGTCGTGGCATGGTCTTGTTCATATGTGTACACTGATTTTGATCTCCGTGTTATTGTTGTTGTTTCCTCTTAGCTGGATGGTTTAATTGCGAAGACTTCATGTGGTTCTTCTGAACACTACACACACTTTCAGTGCTAACTAACTTCACAATATACAGTGGGCTTTGGAAATTCTCCATGGATGTCCGTCATCGTTTCCTTAAACTTCTTTAGGATTATTGCACCTACCTGTATTGTTTGTTATTAATCCCCTAGTAGTAATAATAATAATAATCACTTTATTCCACAACAATAACAATTTACAGCGTGGAATTTTCAGCGTTTCTTTTACATATTGCAATGGTCTAGCTCTGTTTATAATTATATAAATGTATAAAATGTTAAAATATATTGATAGTTAATAGGAAAAATAAAAATGAAACCCAACAAAATCACACCATTGCTAGGTCATAGTGAATAATAAATAAATAATATAACAAATAACACATGCATTAATATGCATCATTACATTTTATAGTTTAGTTAATAATGATTTAAAAGTTGTAAGAGTTCTTTTCTGATATTTGTCTCTTCACACAATACTCGTGCCAAATATGGTACGGTCGAATTTTTATATTTTGTAGTACGAGCATAAATGTTGATGAAATTTCTTCTGGTCTTACCCGAAGAGATGCAAGGAAACAATTGTGAATAAAGAGGATGTTCACTATCAGACAAGATAACTTTAGGTAAGTGTTTACAAGAATTCATATGCCTATTGACAACAGTGTCAGTTAGTTGAGTCAAAGGGATAGCACTGACCCTACTTACAGCCTTCAATGTTCTTCGTAGTATTATATGGTCTTTCTTGAGTAGCCCAGGGAAGAATAATGGAGAACAATAAAGAATGATGGGCAAAACACATGAATTAATAAATTGTATGAGAAGAGATTGGGTTATACCTGAGTGCCTCAACTTCTTTATGTAATAAGTCAGACGGAAAACTTTCTTAGAAACTATAAGAATATGAGACGACCAGCAAAGGTTTAAAGAGAAACTAATGCCAAGATAAGAAACACTTGACTTACTCTCTATCATGGTACCATCAATATTACAACAATCATGAGATTGGATCAATCCATGCATGTCTTTTTCACTTCTCAAGCTGAAATCAACAGTATTACATTTAGTTGGATTTAGTTTAAGACCATTTGAGCCAGACCAATCCTTAACTTCAGCTAAGATGCCATTCATATGGGAACAATCCAATGTGGAAACTACAGGGACAGAAACGGTCAGATCATCAGCATACTTAATGAAGTTAACTTTGGGTGAGTTCGGAAGGCCATGCAAAAAGAAAGAGAAAAGAAATGGAGAAACTACTGCACCTTGAGGCACACCACTTTCAGTTAGCTGAGAAGTGGAGCGCTTTCCAGCCAAAACAGTATGCTGTTTCCTATCCTTAAAATAAGAAGACAGCCATCTAGTTGCCCAGGACTCTGTTTGTGCTGAAATCATCTTTCCTAATAAAAGTGTCCTAGGAACAGAGTCGAAAGCTGCAGTATAGTCTAAAAAAGCTGTTCGAACGAACTTAGCACCCTTATCAAGACAGGAAACAATATTGACCTGTATGACGTACTTCCCATTGATAAGCCAATTTGATCTCTCTCTATCTTATAATGCCTATCAGTTGCGAACTGATTTGAGTGTACTCCTAGGAATGCTCTCTTTGTGTTCCTTCCTTCTGATGTCATTCACAGTAGGAAAATGAAGGCTTTGCAAGGAAGCGCCATTCAGCTCAGGGGAACACAATAATATGTATGTATTTGCATTGAGTCATTTTTGTTGCATGTAGACTCAATGAACCAGCCAGGATTCAGTAATCAATCTCTCCATCTACATAGATTATTTCTTAGAATGTTAACCCTCTCCCACCATGCTATTGTGTGTTAATGCATGCAGTGCTGAGCTTTTTTCTAAATTACTCATCTTCTCGGGTGGGGTCAACCATTCTTACCTTAGCTAAATTCTTATGTTCCGACAATCTGACCACCCCCCAACGTACTAGTTTGACCTATGTAGTTGACCTAGCTGACAGTCATTGCAAGGTATTTTGTAAAGTTATATTATTTTGCTTAATTGGGTCCACCCGGTCTTTTAGCCTACAGAGCTTGTCCTACCTGAGTGAGTTCGTAGGTTTGAATGCCACCACCATCTAATTCCTGCTTTATTGAGAATCCTACGTAGGGTCTCAGATGTCCCCTCCTTTATATGGTATAACTGCTGTAGATGACTTATATTCTCTCTTATTTATGTTATCATTACTAGTTTCACAATTATTTTTTTAATTTTGCTTTTGGCATTAACCCTGAAAAATCAAAACAAAGCAAAATCATACTTAACAAATTCTGAAAGACTAGCTCTAATTAGTTTAAAACAAGACTTAAAAAACATCGTCATCACAAAAGCTGATAAAGGAAACTCCACACTAGTTTTTGATAAATTTGACTATATCAAGAAAGTCACTGAACATATTAAGACGGGTCCGTTCATATGAGGAAATTAAGAAGCCTGTAGATACAATAATGAATAAGATTAATAGATCTACAGCGGATTAAATACGCAGAATGAAGCCATCACTGGGTGAGTCTAAATGGTTTAATTTAATGCCTAAAACTAATAATGCTAGTATAGAATTTATGATACTAACATACCAATCAATATGCCCGCCTTAGAAGCAGTTAAAAAAGAACTAACTGCAGATCCTGAACTCACTCACTCATAGGACAAAGCTGCCCATTGAAGAAATTATTTTAGGAATTCAGTTATGCCTCACTCACATCTACTATCTTTAAATTCCAAGGCAAAATATATAGACAAACAGAAGGTGTAGCAATGGGATGCATCACCAATATCCCTTATCGTAGCAGATATATTTATGGACAGCTGGGAAAATATTGCTCTTATCAGGTAGGAGATGCAACTTCCGGTCGGCTCGGACTCTAAGAATCAATGCTGAACAATAGGTGACATGGCTCAAATCTTTGTCAATGGCAGAGTATTCAGTCTCTTACTTCATATTCTTCTACATACTCATTCTGTTCACTCATACTTATCTAATTCTATTGATTCTCTTCTCTCATTCTGTCTACCTTGTGTACTATTGGAAGTGCAACTCGAACTCGCATTCGTGCCAAGTTCTATGTTGAATCCAGCAGCTCTTAATACATTCAACTAATCCTACTCCAAAAATATGGTGGAGATATGTGGATGACACTTTCACACACAGTGTTGAAAACAGAACATGTCTCTCTCTCTAGCTTCTTCCCACACACATATAGACTCACTAGTAGAGGGAATAAAATTCACATTTCAATCGGAAGATGAACAGAGAAAAATCCAGACTTCCGTACAGCATTACAACACAAGAGTAGGTGATAACAATATACCGTGCCCACAACAATATAACCTCCAGAAAGTACCCCACTCGTCTACCGCTACATACCTGACCTTCTTCTCTATATGCTCTACCACGAAAATGACGATCCCAAGAAACGAGAAATTAAGTCTGTAAAAGTATGTATTTTGTTTATGATTGCCATAAAAATAATACAAAATATTGAAAGGAAAAAACAATTGTAAAGAAAAAAGCCGCCCGAAAAACGCCGAACCTCCTCCCACGTAATTACCTTTAGAAAAAAAATAATAAAATTATTAGATTCTGTATTAACTGGTAGAATTTGTTTAAAATAAAATAAGAACCATGACACATGCACAATTAATATGCGCAACACAGGATAGACATCCGGGTCTAAAATGCAAAAGCTGTTCATTGTCTGTATTTGAAAATTTCACAAACACAATGGTGAATATCAACCGACCGATAACTGCTACCTTGCCGTGGTGGTCGGGCTTGAATGCCGCAGTGACCCAACAAGCTAAACTGGCTGGGACTCATGTCCCTGCAGGTCCTACCATGTCAGGAAGGTTGTTTGGATAGCGGTTAGACTAAAAGCAGTTACCATGGGGTACATGGGCTCCAGAATTCAATCGGATCAAATGGCGTATGAACCCATATGGGTCACCGGCAACCATGGGAACGCAGCTCCGCTGCCTTGCGGATTAGACTCCAAGTCAAAGGCTCGGGGGTGGTCCCTTAGGAAAACCATCTGTTTCGGTCTGGGCGCCCGGGCAGCATCTCAGCTCTCACACAATATTGTGTGGCGCATCTTTCTTGGTGCCATATTGTACCAAGTTTTTCTGCGTTTAAATAAATCTTAATTATTTCACAACGGAATAAAACACGCTGATGATGTGTCAAGAACAATTTTTCCTGTCATTCCACAACACACATTAAGACTCACTTAAATCATGTGTAATTACAGTAAATTACACGACATACCAACAGTTTATCTAGCAAAAACAGAACTGCTTCTCATTGTGAAGTACTTGTCCGCACTTCAAAGGATACTTCTCAAATCATCTGTGTGACTAGATAAGTAATCGATTCGCATTCGACACGTACAGCTAGAATGCGTTACACTATAAGTGTAATGCTTTTTCAGTGTTTTTTTTGTTTGTTTGTATCATTTAATAAAATAAACCCCAGATGAAAGTATCTTCTGCACCGAAATGTCGGCGTGCTAACACAATCTAAATAACATTAGCATAATTAATTTACTTTGTAAAAGTTAACAGGTCAAATGAGTTCGGTTCGGTTTTCGACATAGAACTTTGCACTGATGTGCGCAGTTCAAGTCGCCACACTCCACGTAGCACACAAAGCAAGAGAAGAAAGTAGGAGAAATGCATAATAGAGACAGTAAACACAGGTGTGAGACAAAGGAATAGTAATAACGAAGAACAAAACAGTTTCATTGGAAATCATAAGTCACAAGGAGTGGATGCATCTGCGCCACTGAGAACGATTTTGAGCCATGTCACCAATTGTTTCCAACCATTGGTTTTTACCGTCCCGAGGACCCCAACCAGGAAGTCTACACCTTCATACGTGGCTTAGACTAGCTGCTGTAGATTTCATTGACTGGTGCCATGATTCGGTTTGACCGCCGCTAGCTCTTTTCCAGCCTGGCCCTATATCAGCTAATATTGCCCGTCGAGGAAGGCGATGACTAGGCAAGCATACGTAACACATGTCCTAACCATCTCAGCCGATGTAATTTCACAGTCTCATCGACTGATTTCCCTGCCTTACCTAGCACTCACTGGACGCCTTACCTCAATATTGCTCACCTTATTATACCACTTCACGTGGGGGATAGAACGCAGACACCTATGATCGAAGACAGCTAATCTTTTCATGTCTTCTGCTCTGAATGGCCAGGTATCACGGCCATTAAGGAGGACGGAGCGGACTGTTGAGCAGTACACACGCCCTTTGGTGTGTGCACAACTTGAGCAACTAAATAACCACATGTTGGTTATTATACAAATGGCAAAGAGCCAAAAAATATTAGGTGAGTAATAGTCTAAACTAGTGTAAAATATTTCAATGAAAGTTGGTTGGCAATAAAAATGACGGATATGCGGAGTTTTTTAATATGTGACAAGTTTATGCAGTGAGCTTCTAAATTTATTAATAATAATGTCAATACCTAAAAGTTCTAAATGTTAGATCTAGGCTAAATTTAAATTTACATAAATATTACATCAAGTACTTGATAATAATAATTTGCTTTATTCCAAAACAGTACTTGTGATACAGAATGGAATTCTCAGCATTTTTACTACAGTATTGCGCATCCAGTTAGTACATTATCAATAAATAGAATTCTACATAGATTACAGCTAGTCTCAGTTAGTTTTTGACAACAACGTATTGGCATGTCGGTAGCAAAGCCAAAAGTGAACAGAATGTTTGAAGGTGTTAGAAAAGTAGATACTAGCATATTTACTGGTGTAAGCGGTAACACAGAAAGATCGAGATATACAGAGTGTGAAAGAACGAAGAAGAATGTTTTAAGTAGAGTTTGCAAGGAAGAGAGGAACAAAACAGCACATGACAAAAGAGAGAGAGAGAAAAGGAAAAGAAAGAAATAAAAACTTTGTACCTACAAATGATATGAGTTGGAATGACGAGATCCAATTGTTCTACTGACTATTTAATAAGTTATAAGTTTCACGCCAAATGCCTTCTTTATCGCACAGAACACGAGCTAAGTAGGGTATGGTTGAGTTTTTGTACTTGCTACTGCGAGCATATAGTTTTCTATATAGGCTTCTGGTTTTGCCTGATGAGATGCAAGGGGAGAGTTGTGAATGAAGAGGGTGATGTGAGTTAGATAGAATGGATTTAGCCCATTTTTCACATGAGTCCAAGTGCCTGTCTGTCGACCAGAATATTAACAAGCTGGTTAAGTGGCACATTGCTCACCCTGCTGACAACCTTTAACATCCTGCGTAATAAGGTATAGTCCTTCTTCAGTAGGCCGGGAAAAACTAAGGAGGAACAACAGGGAATAATAGGCAGGATGCAAGAGTTAACGAATCGTAAGAGTAAGGGTTGAGTTGGGTTATTCCAGAATGTTTTAACTTCTTGATGTAGAAGGTAAGACGGAATATTTTCTTAGAAATCAGCAAGATATGAGACGACCAGGAAAGATCAGTAGATAGAATGATGCCAAGATATTTAATTTCCGACTTGATCTCTATTTCAGTGCCATCTATGTTGCACTATGAGCATCTTGGTTATTTTAAAAATATTCCATTATCCGTTGCAGTCCTATAGAAGGTCAGTGACGAGCCCTATTAGCTTAGTTGTAACGTCTACCGCAGAACTGTGAGACTGAGGTACATGAGCACCTAAACGACTGCACATACGCCTTGCTGACGAGTGCCAACGATCACGAAACCTAGTTCCAAAGCTTCCTGCCGACTACCTCCAACCATCTAACAAATTTTTTCCTTCCAGAACTCACGGAGTTTTGAAAGTAGCCAAATAAATAGAGGAAAATGATCACTGCCGGCAGACGAATGTTATCAGAAATATGGTGATAAGCTGGACAATACAGTGTGTGGAAACACCGCTATCCCATCTTATACATATCGGATATTCTGTTTGCACGTTATGGAACTTTAATTTGCGATGCTAAACTACACTTATTAGTATATAATAGAGGAAAATAATGCAGCAATTACTGTTTCCTAAATAAAAGTTATGCACCACGTGTTTAGTACGCAATCAGAATAGAGATATGTAAACTCACCTAAACATAGATTCCAACCCACAGTAGGAGAAACAGTGTTCCACAGCCAAGGAAAACTGAAGCTACCAGTGATAGGAGTATTTCTTTCAACAAAGCTCGTGAAAATTTATTTGTTGTTAGTTCATATACGCTAAACCATGCCATAAAGAAAGCTCCAATCGCCAAAAGCAATACAGAGAGGATAGAGTAAGTTGCAGGATTAATTGGGGGCACATAACGCTCCATCTGTTCTAAGCTTATCTGAAAATTTCAATAAATATTACGAAATATTACACTTACATCCATATTGGCGCCAAGTTACGTAGACTGTTGTGAACAAATCCAAGGACACATGCAACAGAAGAACTATCCAATGTTCAATATCGCTTTCACAAGCTAGTACAAACCGATTTGGTTTCTTTGTGCTCGCTTCTTGATTGTGAGGTAAAGATTTCTGGTCTTCGGTAAACTTCTGCGCTGCTCGTCTCGCCACTTGACTGTCGCAGCTATGGTTGACTCCAAAAGGATTCAGATTATATGGATAGAAGGCTCTTGTTGCCTATATTAATCCTCGCGATATATATCTCTGCAGAGATCCAGTTTCTCTTTGAAACCGTTCACCGATGGAGCTGTTACTACTGAATCAGGTAAGGAGTTCCAGTCGTTGACCACTCTGTGAGAGAATCTAAACTCCAAACGTATTTTATTCGACCGCGGTTTGAGCACCTTCTTCTGGTGACCCCGTAAATGTATCCTAGAGGGAGAGAAAAGGTTTGAAAGGTCAATCCCTTGAATATACGGTAAGCCAAAATTAAGTCGCCTCTCCTCCTTCGATATGATAATGCGTAGAGATTTAAATGCTCCATCCTCTTATCATAAGGAAAGTGTGAGATACCACTAACTAATTTCGTTCCTACTCTCTGTACTCTTTCCAGGGTATGTGCCTCCTTTTTGAAGCATGGACTCGCCGCTTGTATGCAGTACTCTAGATGAGGCATGACATATGTTGCATAGAGTACTTGGAACATGCCCTCGTCTAATCGTTTGAACGCTCTTCGAA